CAATTCACTTAATGGTGAATTGATGTATCTTCAGTTCAGATCAAGTCTTTTATTCAATATTAAATTACTGGATTCTCAAGTTATGTAATCAGTAAGTATAAGCTTTAAGTTAAGCTTGTACATTTCAGTTTTACTGTTTCCGAGAAGCTCAAGAGGAGGTTAACTTCAGCACCGGTGTTGACTATCCCCAATCCTTCTCGGAGTTTCACTATCCTCAGTGATGCTTCGAGACAGGGTTTGGAATGTGTCCTTATGCAGGACGGACAGGTCGTTGCGTATGCTTCACGTCAGCTTAAACCTCATGAGTAGAACTATCCTACGCACGACTTGGAGTTAGCAGCAGTCGTTCACGCCCTGAAGATTTGGCGACATTATCTTTACGGCGGACGCTGCGAGATATTCACTAACCATAAGAGCCTACAGTACATCTTCTCGCAGAAGGAGCTTAATAAGAGGCAGCGCCGTTGGCTCGAACTGGTCAAGGATTATGATTGTTCTATCCGGGAAAGGCGAACGTCGTCGCAGATGCCCTAAGCCGAAAGGTGACGAGAGACTTGACGTACGTCATTACGCAACAGAGTCCATTGATCCATGAGTTCGCCCGGATGTAGCTTCAGGCGATTGATGCACTCCCCATAGCTGTTTCGGGAGCACTAGTGCCAGTGTCAGTGCTATGCAGCTTTAGCCGACACTGAGAGAAAGAATCCGGCGAGAGCAGGCTTCTGACGATTTTGTTCGTGTCATGGAGGCCAAGGTTCGCGCCGGAGGTGTACAAGATTTTCAGTTAAGCACTGATGGTGCCTTAGAGTTCAGAAGCAGGATCGTGGTCCCGAAGGTCGAGGCATTGCGGAAAGAGATTTTATCAGAGGCACATACCGCACCTTACTTGGCCCATCCCGGGAGCACGAAGATGTATCACGACCTGAAAGGGTCGTTTTGGTGGAGAGGCATGAAAAAGGACGTCGCTGAGTTCGTTAGGCGGTGTCTTACCTGTCAACAAGTCAAGGCCGAGCATCAGAGTCCAATTGGCCTCCTACAGCCACTACCGATTCCGAGGTGGAAGTGGGAGGAAGTCACTATGGATTTCGTTACGGGACTACCGAGGTCGTCTGAACATCACGACGCTATTTGGGTCGTGGTCGACAGATTGACCAAGGTGGCACAGTTCTTACCCGTTTCGATGAGGGTGTCTCTGGACAAGTTGGCTGAGATATATACCCGTGGGATCATCCGACTCCACGGAGTGCCCGTCACGATTGTATCAGACAGAGATCCCAGATTCGTTAGTCGATTCTGGCACAGCTTACATGAGGCGATGGGCACCAAGCTTGAGTTTAGTTCAACCTACCATCCAGAGAAGAACGGTCAGTCCGAACGAACGATTCAGACACCTGGGAATATGCTTCGCGCCTTGATTGTTGACAGGGGTGCCAAGTGGGAGTCCCTGTTGCCGTACGCCGAGTTCGCGTATAAAAACAGTTATCATTCCTCCATTCAGATGGCTCCTTACGAGGCACTATACGGTTGCAAGTGTCGTTCCCCTCTTTATTGGGACGACGTTGGAGAGCGACGAATACTCGGTCCTAAGATGATCGAGGAGAC